TGGTTTTCTCAGAGCTCCTTTCTCATTGGCACTAGACAGAGTCATTTTCCCTAATACTATGTAATTTAGTAGAGGCTGTGTCAATTGCATGAAATATTTCTGATCTCCATAATTAAGACGCTGCTGGTCTGACAGCTTTGCTCTGTTACTCTCCCGCAGCTAGTCACAGGGATGTAGAAAGACATTAAAAAAGAGTACGAAAGTAAAAATGGCATGCTGTTCTCCTCCCTAAGGGCCATCTCATGGCTATCACCAGCCTCCCTAGACTCCCTCTTATAGAGTTTCATTTATGACTTTTTCAAAAGCAGGAGAGAGCCCTGGCCACTTTGGCTCAGCAATTAGAGCATCGGCCCATGGACCAAAGAGTTGCAAATTTGATTCTGGTCAAGGGCACATACCTCGGTTGCAGTTTGGTTCCTGGCCCTGGTCAGAGTCATGCAGGAGGCAACCAGTTGATGTGTCTCTTTTACATCAATGTTTCTTTCTTTCTATCTATCTATCATCTATCTATCTATCTATCTATCTATCTATCTATCTATCTATCTATCTATCTATCTATCTAGATCTCCCTCCCTCCCTCCCACTCCATCTGAAGATAAATGGGAAAAAAAATATCCTTGAATGAGGATTTAAAAAAAAGCAGGAGAGAGACTGTGCCAAGGTTCTCCAGACTATCTTCTCTCCACTCCTAGAAAGCATATACCCTGTTTTCTTTGGATTTAGAGAAAATCCAGATTGCCCCTTCTTATGACTTGCCTTTGAGGTCAAATTTAAATTTAGGTCAAATAACTGAATAATCAAAGTCAGAGGTCAAAGAGACATTTAGAGGTGAGAAGTAGCAGAACATTGCAGTTGGTGGCAAGGAACCTTTGATCATGTACTTCGTTTTCCTTTATTTTTGGAAAGAGAAGGATTCACCAAGGTTGCCATATATTCAACTCTTTTATCTTGCCTTTTGCTAGTTTGACAATATATTCAGGTGTAGCCTATAAAAAGTCTCACTTGATTCTCACAATACTTCTATTAAGCAAAAAAAATTTATCATTCTTTTAGAGATTAGGGAAATGAGGTGTAAGAAAACCATCTTGATAGACTGAATTATGATGCTACAACAGATTTACCCTCAACTCTAAGTGGTTTAATAGAACAAAGGTTTATTTCTCCTCACAGTATGAATGACACAGCAGTTGACCCAGTTGCGCAGAGGTGGGATGGTAGTATCTGCTTCATATAGTCATTCAGGTACCCAGGCTTATGGAGGCTCAAAGATATTTTAGCTGCATCCTGTGTAACTTGCAGTCTTTCAACCTCTCAGAGAGAAGAGGGGAAAAAAAGCATAATCACCCATGGCTTTTACGCTGCTTCAGTCCAGAAATGACACACATTTTTTCAGCTGCATTTCATTAGCTAGTACCAGTCATGTGTCCTCACATAACTGTAAGGGGAACGAACTGTAGAAGAAATGAAATATAGGGCAAGCATTACTATCACTCTTTACGAGGTAATCATTTGCCCATTATCACATAGTTATAAGTGGCAAGATGGGCATGTAGACCCAAGCTGTCTGACTCTAGAACCCATGTTCTCAACCACTGCATTTTTTTTTCATGACTTCATCTTACCATTTTGGGAATAGAAGTGGCCATTTTCTCCAGACTGTCTTCTCTTGGTGTGGGAGACAGCTGCAACATGGTGGGAACATCCCTGGACTTGAGACAGATGGGTTTGCATATCCATTTTGCCACTTACTGGTTGTGAGACTTTGGACAAGGCCCTTAGCCTCTCTGCTAAGAACAGTTTTACCATCTACAAAGTAGGGGTGAATAAAGTTCATTTAGATCATTATGAAGATGAAAATACAAGAATCTTCATGACATATAATATCCCCTTAACAAATGTAAGTTTGAATTCTGACCATTTTTTCTTCCTTCCCCTCTTTCTTTACACAAGTGCCTTCCTAGGATGTGAGTACTTCCATACCAAGACCTTTCACTCAAAGCTCTTGTTGAAAACTGGCCAAAGGAAAGACATCAATGACCTGATCCCAACACTTTTAGCATTAAAGTTCTGATTCTGTTACCAGCCCTTTTCCTGATATCAGCAGTTTTCTTCATGTGTTGCTTAGCACAACTCATTCATGACTTCAGGTCAAAGGAAAGGATAATGTCACAGTGGAATTAAAAGTTGTGACTTAGGAGCCATTTTGCATTTAAAAACACTGTAAATATTGGAACCTCTCTAGGAGGCAAATGTCAAGGCACATTAATATGGAGTGGACACCAATGCCTTCAGGTATCAACCGAGAAAGCCCATTTTGTTTATCATTGTAGCCTCTTGTAAACTCTGAAAATAGGTTCTTTATATTATTTTAATGTTATTTAGAAAAAAATTAAATATCTATTAAAGCAACCAGGTAATAAGAAAAACAGTCTTATTTGGAAATTTAATGGGCTATTTTCTCCTGGAAAAGGACAGTTCCTGTGAGAAGGTGCATAAACTCTTTCAGAAGGCCCCTGGGTAATTGTTTGGGAGAGTATTGGTAGAGATAATTTATAATCTAGAAGTCAAAGTTCATGGCAAGAGTAATGAGCTTCCTTGAAGCAAGTCTCCTTTTTCAAAAGGAGCCTGAAGCGCCACAATTTTTGTTTCTTACTTTGCCTTTCTTGTTAGCATTGCAAACCTCCTGACACACTGTTGCAGTCTTGGACTCTGGCCTCAGACAGATGTGGGTTTCACATCTAGCTCAGCAAACTGCTCGCTGTGGGGCCTTGCACAAGTTACAGAAGTCTCTGAGCACCTGTGTCCTCATATGTGGAATTGCATCTTGATTATTAAATGAAGGATACAAATGGCGTACCTGTTATGTTTGACACCTGGAACAGATCATTTTTAAACTCACTCCTCTAGATGATAAATTATGTTGAGTAATAATAATTGTCTTAATTTACCCTTTAGTCTTAAAGTAATAATTTAAAAGAATAAGTGTAATTTTTAAGAACTAAATGTACATTTTGTATTGAAGAATTTGTTACTCCAAAATATGCCTCTTTGGCATAGCGATTATTTTAGTCTAATCATTTTTAAAGAAACAGCAGGAACAGGAGAAGCTCTGAAAAAAGGTAGAAGTTATCTTTGTGTAAGAGGCACGTGTATAAGGGAAATCTCCATTTGTAAGGGTGTCTTCCTCACTGTACTGGGAAAAGAGGATGACCAAAATTTTAGAAGCTCTTATCAATGAAGAAAGAACCAACAAATCTGCATTAAAGTCATAACTTTGTTTACTGTGCTTTCCTGGTTACCCTTCTCCCCCAAAGTGGCTACCCAAACCCCAACATCTTTCTTTTGTCTTTAGCTGCAGATGGTATTTAAGGTAGTGACTTGGGCCACTTCAGAGTTACTCACTTTTCCTTGATATCTCTCATGTATACAGGACGTGTTCATGTCCTTAAACTTGTTTGTTCTTCTGTTCATCTGTCTTTGTATTACGTGGTGTCCCAGCTAAGAACCTAGAAGGGTAGAGGGAAAGCTATTTTTCCTCCTCCACAGTTTGAACTAAAATATGCAGTTACTAAACAATTGCACCTTGTAGTTTTACTGTTTTAGGTTTTATTTATTTATTTATTTTTTAGTACGTGCCCCTAGCGGGAACCAAACCCAGGACTCTCTGGTCCGCAGGCCGATGCTCCAACCGCTGAGCCAAACCTGCCAGGGCTGTTTTAGGTTTTAAACTTCAATTAAAAAAACAAATAGGCCTGGCCAGTGTGGCTCACTGGTTGAGCATTGACCCATGCACCAAGAGGTCACTGGTTCGATTTCTGGTCAGGGCACATGCCCAGGTTGTGGGCCAGATCCCCATTGGGGGGCATGCAGGAGGCGGCCAGTCAGTGTTCTCTCTCATCGATGTTTCCATTTCTCTCTCTCTCTCAAATTAATAAAGAAAAAAAATTTTTTTTAAATGGTCACGTAGAATGATTGAATTAAATTAATCCAGTTTTGTTTCTTTATCTTTAGTACTATCGTGGTTTATTTATGTTTACTGTTTAGGTGTAGGGATATGTCCTACCACAAGGGTTGGAGACACAAACGATGCCTTAAGTGAGCTAGAACAATTCCTAACCATTATGAACTTACTCTTTTTTTTTTAATCCTCACCCGAAGACATTTTGAATTTATCTTCAGATAGAACAGGAAAGAGAGAGGGAGGAAGAGAAACATTGATGTGAGAGAGACACATCGACTGGCTGCCACCCACACAACTCCATGGGGCCAGGGACAAACTGCAACCAAGGTATGTGCCCTTAGCGGGAACTGAACCCGGAACTCTCTGGTCCACAGGCCTACCCTCTAACTTCTGAGTCAAACTGGCCAGGGCTATGAACTTACTCTTAAACAAACCTTTGAAGCTGTGTCCACATGTGTCAGGGTTGACTATTTAACTAGGGCTTCTCTGGATTAACTTCTATTTAGAATATAATGTTTATTAAGAGATAAGTAATAAACATTTGCTAATTTGAAGTATTACATAATAAATAGTACATATACATATTATATAATAAACATATACATCTATAAGTTTATATAGACATACTATATAATATATATATATAGTAAGAATTTATCATTTTTGAAGATAGATCAACCAAAGATGTTTTAGGGAAGAGCATTTTAGCATTGAATTATTTAGAATTGTGGGCATATGGTGATAAGAAAAAGTAGACAGACTTGGCTTAATTGTTTTTTTTTTTAATTCTTTACAGACAATGCACCTTCTATTGTTGTACCAGAGCCAGCCACTCCTACTGCCCTGCCCCAGTATATCACTGTGAAGTTCCTAGCATATAGTAAGCACTCAACATGCCTCAACGGCTATCATTTCTCTACAGTCTTTTAAAACCAGAGAGATTCCTACAGTCTTACTTCTGTGTTGCAGAGAGAGAGAGAAAAAAAAACAAAGACATGGAAATATGATTTAATTTCCCAATAAAGAAGTTATCATTATCATGCTCACTTCGGCAGCCCATAGACTAAAATTGGAACGATATAGAGATTAGCATGGCTCCTGCTCAAGGATGACCTGCAAATTCATGGAGTGTTCCATATTTTTAATAAACAGTTTTAAGAAAAAAGAAAGATCATTATCTTTTGAAAAGAGTAATGTTTTTCTGTAATAATAGCTATGGATACTTTTTAATTTAAAAATGCACCCACTTATAAAAGAGCATACAAAAGGCAATAAAAGCCTTTGTAGTCATGTTATCCAAAGACAACAATAATTATTTATTGATCACTTACTATATGCATCCCAGGAGCTGCACATGTACCATTATTTTAATTTTTATTATGAAGCAGGTTCACTTTTTTTTTTTTTACTGTTTTTTGGTTTGTTTTCTTTTGTTTACAGAGCAAGTAGCCAATGGTTGTAAGCCTGAGCTCAGTGGCAAACTGGTATTCAGATACAGCTCTATTTGAATAAAAGCTGAATCTCTTAACAACTCTGCTATTTTATACCTTTATCACCTCACTTCTAGGAAGATAGTCAAAGGAAATAGAATTGTTTTCAGAGATTTATGAATGCGGATATTTATCACAATGATAGTTGTAAAAACATTTATGTTCATGGAAGAAAGATGAGGAGGAAACAATAATACATTATCAGTGGTTAACTCTTAGTTGCTGAATTATTGATTTCATTTTATTGTATATATTTTCAGTATTTTATGAAATTTCTATAATAAGAATGTGAAATCCTCTAAAAATTTTAATAAACTTATTTTTTAAATGTTGGATTATTATGCTAAGTGAAATAAGCCAGTAAGAGAAAGACAAACACTATATGATCTCACTTATATGTGGAATCTAATGAACAAAATAAATTGATGTACAAAATAGGAACAGATACATGAAACAGACTAACAGCTGTCAGAGGGGAGGGAGGTTGGGGGACTGGATGAAAGAAGGTGAAGGGATTCAGAAGAAATAAAATATATGCATAACACATAGACACAGACAACAGGGTAGTGATACCCAGAGGGAAAAATAGGTTAGAGTAGGTGGAGGTGGGCAAAGAGGGGAGAAATGGGGACAGAAAGAGACTTGGCTTGGGGTGATGGGTGTACAAGGCAGTGTACAGATGAGGTTTTATCAAGTTGTACACTTGAAACCTATACCTGAATAAATTTATTTTTTTTAAAAATATGGAGACATAATTAATATGTCTCAATAAATATTTATTGAATGAATAAATGAGAACCCCAACCCCAAAATTAGTGAATCTTCAACTCATCTATCACTGAATCCTGATCTTTCATACACAGTTTGTTTAAAATATTCTGTATAGCCCTGGCCAGTCTGGCTCAGTTGATTGGGTGTCGATCCGGGCACCAAAAGGTTGCCGGTTCGATTCAGGGCACAGGCCTGGGCTCTGGGCTCAATCCCTAGTGGGAGGCGTGCAGGAGGCAGCTGATCAATGTTCCATTTGCATCAGTGTTTCTCTCTCTCCCTCTCCCTTCCTCTTTCTCTAAAAATCAACAAAAAAATCTTTAATGATACTACTACTACTAATAATAATAAAATGTTCTGTACAGCTCACACTTTCCAACAGTGTCTGGACTAGGCTGTAATTAAATGTCACTTTATTGTCTTCTTTCATGTCTCCTTTAACCCTCAGCTGTTAGTGGCTTTAATTCTACCAATTCTTGTATTGCTCCTAATCTTCCCAGGGAGAAGGCATTCATTTACTAGCTTGACTGCTTTTTTTTTTTTTTTTTAAAAAAAAGGACATCCAATTTCTTTTTCTCAGGAAATTAATGAAAGAAATATTTACACAGCCCAACTTTTCCCAACCAGAAGGAATATTTTTTCCCCATCTCTTAAAACTTTCTTCCTGTCACTAGCTCTCTCCAGAAATTTTGGACGTGGATAGCAGTTTTTATCACAAGCATAAGCTTCCTGGATATCCGGGCAATAATATGTTAGCTGTGGGATCCTCAATATGTCTCATCACCTAGAGTCACTGTCTCATCTATAAATGAAAACACAAAGTCATTGGGCTTTAAAGCCCATGCCTAGATTTAATCCTCCAGTAAAAACAGAACAGTAAAGGAATGGGTATTCATTCTTCTGGTCCCAATGCTGAAGGAGGATGTAAATAGATTGACTCTCTGAATGGTACCTGAGCAAGGGGCTTACAGTGTAGAGGTTTAATGTAGTATTGAGGAAAGATGTTGAATTTAGAAAAAAAAAATTTTTTTTTTGTATCCTCACCGGAGGACATTTTCTCCACTTTTTGTTCAGGTAGAGTGGGAGGGAGAGAGGAAGAGAGAAACATCGACGTGGACAAACTGCAACCGAGGTACATGCCCTTAGCGGGAACCGAAACCGGGTCTCTCTCTGGACCGCAGGCCACGCTCTAACCGCTGAGCCAAACCGGCCAGGGCTGAATTTAGAACTAAATAACCCCAAAAGGAGGCTTGTCTGTAATTCATTAGCTACATGGCCTTGAGCAAGTCATGTAAACTCCTGATTGCTTTTCAGATTTTCTCTTTGTCTTGGTATTCTGTGGTTTCTGTACAAAGTATTCAGATGTGGATTTCTTTTTGTTTATCCTGCTTAGGAATGGTTGAAATTTTTGTGAGTGGTATCTTGCATTGGTTTTGGAAAATTCTCAGCCATTTAATATTCAAATATTGCCTTGGGCAAAATGATGTAAGCTCTGGGAACGGCTTTAAAATACAACAACAAAGACATAAAGAGAAAGAGAGAATGAAAAAAATGCAGCAAAATCTTGATAGTCATGGAATCTGGGTGACAGGTGTATGGGGTTTATAGTACTATACGCTCTACATTTTTCTTTCATGTATATTTAAATAATTTTATAATAAAAAATAAAAAAGATATGAGAGATGAAACAGCGATTCTCTTTTTCTCTTGGATCTTTAATGGAGTACACATCAGACCTCATTCTATCCTCACCCGAGAATATTTTTCCATTGATTTTTAGATAGCATGGAAGGGAGGGAGGGAGAGAAAAACATCTATGTGAGAGAGACACATTGATTGGTTGCCTTCTTCATTACCCTGACCAGGGCCCTGGGGATGGAACCTACAACCCAGGTATGTGCTCTTGTCTGGGAATTGAGACCTCAACCCTTTGGTCTGCAGGCCAATGCTCTACACTGAGCCAAACCAGCCAGGGTTCCTCCAAGTATCTTAATGCTAATATTTTCCATATGTGACATTCTTGGCAATTTCTTCTGACCTATTTTTAGTTCATTCCTTCTGTACACAATTATATTTAATTTGTTACTGAGTGCTTAATTTTGGTTATTATAATTTTTATTTATAGACATTCTTGTGGGTATTTTTCTTTTTCAAATATGTTAGGTTACTTTCTCCAGGAATTTTTTTAAATCTCCTTTCTCCAGCTTTTGAAACAACAACACAGTGGGTATAATTGTTTTATAGCCTGGGTCTCATAATTCTGACATCAGAAATATCTGAAAGTCTATTGGTGTTATCTGTTTGTTCTATTATAAAAGGTTCTTGTTCATGGTTCCTTGCTTGTGTGCTTGATTATTTTTTACTATGTGCTGCTCTTATATTTGAAAAATTATACATGAGATCCTTCGGGGTAAAGGACAAAGGTGTTTTCCTCTAGAGAGGATATGCATTCGATTCTGCCAGGTGCTCAAAGGCATTGCCAATTTGGGACCACTTTAAAATAAATTCAGAAGTTGCAACTTTTGGGACCAATTAAATTCAAAGATGTGAATGTAGTTTGTTGCAAATTTGAGTGAACTTGCTACAACTTTTAGTCTTTCCCTCCTGGACCTAGGGCTCAGCAACAAAGCAATTTTCTTGTACCCCTGAAGTGTGGGAAAGATATAACCCTTTGGTGCCCCAACTTCTTTGGAATAAAGGGGTTTCTTCTTAGGGAATCAGTCTTGGACAGGATTGTGCTTTGATCTCCTTTCCTTGGGAGATCAACAACACTGAGGAGGTTTGGGAGGTCGGGTAAGCATTAGTGCATTCTCTTACCTTCCTGAAAAAAATAATCTAGGTCCCATTTTATCATATGTAAGATGGAGCTAATACTGTTTCACTCAGAGTTGTAAGTATTAAACGAGATTTAAAATGCCCTTTGTAAATTGTAAATCACAATATAAACTTACTCTGGAACTCTGTTGCATGCATTATTTGGAGAATATGTATATTTTACAATGTTGTGTCCCATATATTTCATAAGATTTTCAAAGGATCCACTGACTTTCAAAATAGGCTTAAAATACAATTGAAAATAGAAATTATTATTAGATATCAAACGAGTATAGGAAAAGGGCAGCAGATTCTGCTAGTGCTTATTCATTTAGATATTACTGGATTTCAGAATATCTGCCAATTACCAAAATAATGATTATTTGCTCAGTAATATCTTTTTCTTTCTTTCTTTTCTTTTTTTGGTTTTCTTCTAAACTACACTTTGTGTGAAGTTGGAGAGAAAAAACTTGTATTCCAAATAAATGTATTGGTCCTAGTTCAAGTTTATCATCCAATAGGAAGAGCATTTTGTTTCTTTCATAATTTATTTCTTGCAGGTTTCTGTTCATGGGTGCACAGGCTCTTAGAATGTTAGAGCTGGCTGGATCTGCACAGATCATATCACTTACCTCTTAATTTACATTTAAGGACACTGAGGAAAGGACAAAGATAAATTTATTAGGATAATAAATGCAGCCAATATTCCGGAGGCTTTCTGCTAATTAAAATGCTGCTTTCGCCCTGGCCGGTTTGGCTCAGCGGTTAGAGCGTCAGCCTGCGGTACAGAGAGACCCGGGTTTGGTCCGCTAAGGGCATGTACCTCGGTTGCAGTTTGTCCCCGGCCCTGGTTGGTTGTGTGGGTGGCAGCCACCTGGTGTGTCTCTTTTGCATCGATGTTTCTCTCTCTCTCTCTCTCTCTCTCTCTCTCTCTCTCCCCCTCTCCCTCTCCCTCTCCCTCTCCCTCTCTTTCTCTCTCTCCCTCTCTCTCCCTCCCACTCTATCTGAATAAAAAATGGAGAAATGTCCTCGGGTGAGGATAAATAAAATAAAATAAAATAAAATAAAATG